ATTTGCAATTGTTAATCTAATTTAAATGTTTAAATTAAAAATGAGATTCTGAATTGGCTTGATTAAAAATATTTTACATCAGAAAATGGAAATTGTGATTAATTTGGATTATCAGGATGGTTAAGAATAAAAGAGATAAATAATATAAATGATAATTTTGATTATAAATTTATGAAAATGAATAAATTTAGTTAGAATAAAAAATTAAATGATGATAATTTATCAGCTTTTTAATTGATATATAGAATATCATAATAATAATAATATGAAATATTAATAATGAGTTATAGTTATAGATTTCCTATTGTAAATATAGATTTTAATAATAATCCATTTTTAATAATTAAATAAATAGAAATTAATAATGATATTTATTTATGGCATTATTTATAAGTTACATTATAATAAAATGTATTATAAATAATAATAACATTTTATTAAGAATAAAATAAATATTAATATTAAGAATAAATAAATGTATATCATTTTAATGAAGTATAATTTTAAATACATTATGGTAATATAAATTAAGAATCTAATAATTATTTAAATATTTAAATACAAAATTTCAATTTTTATAATTGTGATATTTCATAAATTAATAAAAATTGTCATTCAAGTTGTTAATTATGTGATGGACCTACTAATTCTGATTGTTTATCATGTTAAAATAATTCAAATAGAATTTATATACCATTATAAAAAGCATGTATTTGTTAATATAATACAATTGATTAAGATTTTTGTTATTCATATTAACATTTTTAATTTTAATTAATTTAATATCAAACTAATTAAATATAATGTTAATATGGATATTTCTATTTTAATTCATAAACTTGTATTAAATGGTAATTATTAATTATTTATATATTTATAGTCCTTCAATTATTTAATCTAATCTTATTACATGTTTAGAATGTATATCAAATCCTCTAAATTGGTAATATAATCCTTATTGTTAAACATTAATATATATAATTCAAGATAATACCTATAATACAATTAAAGATTAATCAATTTAATATTATATAATAATTAATCATTAACTTTAATTGTGTTAAGAATGTGGTGAAAAAAATTTTAATAATGATTCTATAATATATTAAGATTTCTTAAATTCATTTTCAAATTAAAAAGATCTATGTTCAAAAAATTATTCAATTAATTAATTTGACACTAAATAATAATTTTGTTAGTCCTGTAATATAAATCACTGTAAAGTTTGTGTTGTCTTAAATGATGGATATAAATGCATTTTTTGCACGTATGGAACATTTCTAAGAGATGGAGATTGTATTGGTTTAAGTGCTATTTCAGGTTTATTCAAAACAAATGATTGTGTTCCTCCTTATTATAGAACATCAAATAAATAATGTAGTATATGCCCTATAAATCAGTGTAAATTTTGTTTTGAATATAAAAGTAATGATTTGTCAAAATGCACTCTGTATAAAGATTATGAAGAATTTAATAAGGATGAGTATCATTAAGTTGGATGCGCATTGTGTGAAGATAATTTTATATTTGATTTTAAAAAAGGATTTTGTTTACATTAACAACCTAAGATCTAGTTTTGTTTAAGATCTTTTATAAATTTAGATGGAATAGAAATATGTACATTATCCTAAATTGATGATTTCAATATTGCACCTGAAATTATTAATTGTCAAAAATACATAACAAATTGTATTCAATGTGTTTTATCACCATAACAGATTATCAAGTGTGTGATTTGTAAAGATGGCTATAAGAATTCTGTTTAAACAGGTCATTGTACTCCTAGTTTTATTCCTAATTCGAAGATATCAACTGAAGGAATTATGAATGAATACGATGCTTGGGTTCAATTAATACAAAGTTTTTAGATTTAATTTTTACCAAACCAATATTATTACAATGTATAAGAGGTAACAGGACTGAAAATAGAAGTAACAATTGAATGTTTAGAGGGATTCAAACCCATCTCTAATCTTTGTTTCTAAACTTGTGATTCAAATTGTCTATAATGTGAAAAATCTTAAGGTGAAGTAATTAGCTTTGAATGTAAAAGATGTCCTTTAAATTACTATAGATTACCTAATCGATCAAAAAACTAAAGTAATTGTTTAGTTTGCCCATAATTATGTTAGATCTGTTAATTAAGATCTAATGAGGAAATTTAAGTAATTATATTCATTAGAATTAGGCTATTAATCCTTAATTCATTATAAATGAAAAAACTGCCCCTTTTACTTACAAATGTTTACAACCAGCATCTGATCCAAATATTAGAATAAATCCAATTTTGTAGATTGCTAAATATTGTTTCAACATCAAATGCTAGG